AAAAAAAAAAAAAAAAAAAAAAAAAAAAAAGGGAAAAAAAAGGAACAAAGCGAACGAAATGGAAAACGATACGGGATTATGTTATGTGAGCCGATAGCCGCGGTCCAGCCAGAATTGATTGAATTTGTTTCCGCGGGGAAAAATGACGAAATTAATTTCGCCGCGGATTTCGAGAGCCTATGGGGGCCACACGGTTGGATTAGAATGGAGTGGTTGAGCGCCGATCATCGATGTTTCGTCGCGCGATCGCTTCATTCGAATTCGAGTGGCCATCTCGTGTTTTTAATGCGAAAAATACTTCGCGGATGTCTCGGTGAAAATCGGTTCGAACACTAGAACAACTGGCCTTCGATACTTGTCGAGATATTCCACGCGTAAATCATTGTAATCGTAACTAGTAATAATAATCAAGGCAGTCACGTTTCTGTCTAAACAGAAATCAACAAATTGATTTTCAAGTGTGATTGTCGTATTGTCTTTCAAGCAAATTGCATTGTTGGTCGACAGTGACGCGGTTTCGACCATTTCGTCGCTTACGAAGAGCTCGATCGAGGAGATTGAAGGGATCGAGGATCTTCGGCGAGGAAGGGTTCATTTGCATGATTGTAACATGGTAAATTTGACGGAATCTTCTTTCCTTCATCTTTCGATCTTTCGACGTGTAGTAGCGCCGGTTGGCCGAGATCGAACGCGCGCGAGAAAGAGGCGCCCGACCTGTCGGTCTAATTTTACGGTTTAGCTGCGCGAGAATCTGTGCTACGGCTGCAGGCGAGAGGAAACCAATCACGGAGCGAGAAACCAGGCCGCGGCGTGCTCCGACCTCCAAAAATTCCCCGGCGAAATTGTCAAACCAATCCTCCCCCCGGCGGCCCCGCCGCCCTCCCTTCTGTTCCGTTCGTGCGAAAATTGGAAACTCCTCCGTGAAATCGACGTTTCCGGCCAACACTCCGGCATATTAGGGCGTCGATTAAATTCGTTAAACCAACGAATCGATGCTCCCGTGCAAGATCGACGAACCTGCACCAAGTAGCGCAACGTGTTCATCCGTCGCTCTCTCTCTCTCTCTCTCTCTCTTTTCCTGCCCCCTTCCCTAAATTTCCTCGACGCAGCAGCTCGGTCGACATTCGATTGCGGCTAGCCTACGTCTGCCTGGAAGCAGGATTTCCAAAGGCGATTACAGAACCGGTCGCTAAAGCAATTCATTTGCGTGCAGCCGAATTAAAGCGAATCGTTGCATCGTCATTGCGTTCCGCTTAGCGAGACACGCGTTTCACCAATCGGCGAGTCGTCGGTTCTCCAAGCATCGGAGCTGCACCGACTGCGCAGTCGTTAAGTATAATAATCGGCAATATTATTCGTGAATTTCTCAGATGAGAATAAACACAAAGGTTAAAAATAGAGTGACTCACCTGTATGAATATTATACTTTGTAATAAAATAATGAAATAATCGGTAATATTTATGAAACGCGCGAAGGATTAAAAATAGGATGAGCTATATATGTGGTGAATGAATATGCTTACATGTTTAATCTATGTTATACAGTACTATACAGATAACCTTGTGATAAAATAATCAGGTGCTTACTTATTAGAGATTTAATCAGGCTGATATATTATAATACGTGAAAAGTTACGTGTTTGAAGGTGAATGCATTCTTGATTTGTTACGTGCTCCTCGTTCAGTATCAAATTTATTTTTTAGAGCATTGCAAGAGTTAAGCTGTGACCTGTCCTGTGAGTGAACACTAATCAAGTTTAAAAGCTTAATTTATGTAAAACTTTCCAATTGCGTTCTTCAACGACGTGATTGTCCTTTCAGTAGTATCGTCGTTGGAAACTTGATGACTTTGACTGGACGACTATTCATTTATTGGTATTCACTGTTAACTTCTATTCGATGTACGAACACTTGACGAAACTGACAAATTCTTAAAAATTTGTTGTTCATATTGAAAAATCTGTTGTTTCATACAATATTCTTCATCGAACGAACATCGTGAACAATGTAATTACGAAACTCAATTTATTATGAAAGCATTGAACAGATGTTAAGTAATAAGATTTTGAATTTGTAGGATGAATTTGTGACAACTATTGCATAAAGAGAATGTAGCATGTAAAACAAATAAGAAGGGGAATGCTTTTTGTGAAAAATCTGCGAGCTACAGAACTACTGCTATAAATTTCAGTGTGAAAAGAGCGCGATATGTCTTAATTTTTTCCGCACGATATGAGCAACATTTTCTGGAACATTTATTCAGTAGATCAAATGTAATTGTAAGTTACAATTAGACGTAAAATACGGAAGTGTTATAAGTTCAATAGTTGGCGAGATTCTGATCGTTGATACAGTGACGAACTTCCAAATAAATATCATTCAGTTTCACCTGCTGATGAAAATTTCATTATGCTAGTAATAAACCAAAATTCCTTTTCCATATCTCTTCGCATCTCAGCAACAACATTTATCTAATCATCTCTACCACTGTCATTATTAGTCATTACTGCTCTGTTCTCTTCTTAATTGCACGTCTACTCGCGAATTTCCCTGTATGTTTTTACGTTTTTCTCTTTATTACTATACGTCTAGTAAGCCCTGAAAGTGTCTGCTAACGAGTTTCCCTGTACTCAGCGCACGAGTATAAGCACTCGTTCTTTAAAAAAAAAAAAAAAAAAACCCACGTGGATTGTTTGTTCAGGCTGCAGGTGATTCCCAGGCATTGCTCAGATGCCTGAGGGAAGTGCCGTTGAACACGCTGGTTTCGGTGCCCGTGAAAGGCTTGGAATTCGCTCCTGCTTTCGGGCCGAGCATAGACGGCGTCGTGATTGATCCAGGCGATCCCGATGATCAGGACTTCACTCTGCAAGTGGATACGATCAATACGCTGAACAACATCTTACTGCGGAAGGACGTCATATCGAAACTCTCAAGGTATTTCCCTGCATGATACTCTCCTCATTTTCCCCTATTTCCTCCTGAATTTCACCCGATTCCGTCCTGTTACGTTTTCTTCTTTTTTTCTTCTTCTTCGTCTTCTTTTCCTAGATGTTTACCTTTTGAATACGATCGTCAAATAAAGCCGGCAATCACCGAATGTACACATAAATTTCGTTTACATCAGGCATTTCAAGTCACTTAAATTTTCTTTGCAGGAGAATAGTTTCATCCACATTCGGTATTTTCCCTTCTTTATTTGTGTTAATCGATATTACCTACTGTTTTGTCTTTTTTTTTTATATTAATAGTAGTTATTTTTAATAGATGGGATCTATGACTAAAGTATTCAAATTGAATTATATATCTTCGTTACTGAGAAGTTTGAGATGTGCAGAATAAAATGTGCAGAACATGTGTTGATATGCTGTTCTAAAGAATTCAGTATAAAAATGATATGAAGAAATATATAGATTAGGGACACAGAAGTATTTGATTTTAAAAATTATTGATTACAGAAAAGTCAGACTTATTGTTACCAGATCCAATAATTAATGAAGGAAGAATGATATTATAATTGCAATAATATGATATTATAATATTAAAATAACCTATATTAATATAGAATTATATTATAATATCATAATTTAATCGTTAAAACTTTAATAGATTCCATATTTAATAAAATTCACGGATTAAAATAAATTAAGCATTATAATTCAAGTACTATAAATTAAATATATAAAGATGATTTCTTCTCAACTTCTCTTTAATTATAACAGATTATATGTTATACCATGGATTTCAACTTCTTGTTGAAACGTCCAGTGGATACGTCGAGAATGTAACAATGGCATGTCATAAGTAGGATTGAAACAAAACAGGGGACTCGTTACGTGGCTAAACGGAGCATACTAACTAACCAGAGAAGTCCACGGGGAAAAAGTGGCAACACTCTCTTATTCGACTCCTCTTTCTTCACCCTTTTGCTTTACCTTTCCTGTTTCTTTTCTTTCCTTTTTCCCTTTGCACGTGTTTCGCCTTTTTTCTCTCCTTTTTCCATCGAGCTTGTTTTATCTTGCGACGTCTCCCTGTTCTGGCAAATCTCTTGCTCCATTTTATTTCCCTCCTCTCTCTCTCTCTCTCCCCACCCTCTCTCTTTCTTACTCTCTCGCCGACACTTCACTCTTCCTTTTATCTCTATCTGAGATCATCTACTTTTCTTTGTTCGCCGGTCGCTAGTTTGTTCATCTCGTGCTTCCTTCGATTTTTCGCCGAAACGTCACAGCTGAAGCGACTCCGCGTTTTCATCTTTTGTTAATTACGCTTGGTTATTAATTCGAATCGGAGGACGACGGCAGCTTGGACGCCGAGGACTTCTTTTCAATCCTCGTCATTTGAATACATCTCCATTTTCTCCTCTTCCTTTGCCGTTTTATTATTTTAACCCTTTTGTCGTTGAACCTTGTCCATTTCTTCAGGTTTCCTTCGCTCTCAATTCTAGAAAACGTTTGCACGCACGTTCCACGTTCCACGTTGTATCGTTTTAACACGTTCGTTAAGAGGTGCACACGTGTGCATGGCGCACTAATTAGAGGAAATTCGGTAACTAGAAAATTAAGCAAGCTTGGGAAGCTTGTGACGCTAAGAACAATCTTCTTTCCTGATGAATTGCTGAAAAATTCAGAGATAAAAACATTTCTTCGAAATATCTTGACTTCCCGTGTTATTATAAATATTCATGGAACTGCATAAGATATAGGAAAGGAACTTCAATTAAATGCTGTATTCTTTTCGTGGTTTATATCGCGGCGATAAAAAAATTTCAAAAATTGAAGGAAAAATTTATATCGTTTAAAGAACAATATTTGATCGCTCCATTGAATCAGTGTTGTGTAGCAGGAGTTATAATTTAGAAAATAATAATGAAATTAAAGTTACGATACGGCATTGGCAATCGCGAAAAATGAACAGAAGCGAATTGAATTTTATTTATTGACGCGAAGAAATTAAATATGAATGATCCTGATGGTTATCACGATTTATAAAAGGAGAGAATCGTGAAGAAACAACGACAAATGAGTGTTAGTGGTTGGCGCAGGAGCAGAGAAAAACTGAACAGAACAAATGAGCAGCAAAAATATTTAAATCCAATTACAGACAGAATCAATGAATGTACGCGATTTATTACCGAATGAAATTTTATATTTCAGCGCGTGATAATGCTGAAATATAACATCGAGCCAAATAATACATCGATAATACAGCGAGCCACAGTTATAGAGACATAATTTTATATTATTTTATAAATGAAAAATATATCCATGGTAACTGTATCATGGGCCGCTTAACCTCGATATAATCGAAAATTCGCGTATCTGTAGAAATAAAAGACAATTGAATTAATCGATTAAGAAAAATCTCTGTAAATCATTACCGAATGGAATGACCGAGATGACAAAAAACAAAGATAATTATTCCCATTATTAATTTTCATTATTAAATTTCTTTCTTTGTAACAAATATTATGTCATAAACGTTTTTATCATTTCTCTTTCGACATTTGCACGTTTCTTTTACATTCTGTGAATAGTAGAAATAATGTCGCGTTTTTCT